TAGCTTTAGAAAGTAAGGTATATATCTTCACAAAAATTTCACGGTGAGTAACCAACTACAATCATCCTAATTTAAGCATAAATAATTATTATTTTAGTTTCTAATTTGATACGCGTAACTCTGGAATAAATCTCCAGCAAAAAAATAGGAATTGAGATTGTATTGTAGGTAAATAAATAAATGTTATTAGAGCTTCTTTTCATATTAAATTTAAAAATAATAATTTAAAATTATTAAGCACAAAATATATATTAGCTCATGTGAGAAAGTATAGTAATCTATGGTCTATATGCGTATATAGTCAATCAATCAAATGTATTAAAATTATGATGACTACAGTCAAAATTACATGGTGGGTTTACATTAAATATAATTTACAAAAAATAGTATATTAAACTCAAAATCTTTTTAACCACTATATAGATTGTCTGAAATTTTTTGCATGTATAAACTATACTGTCTAGGAATAGTAATATGCATACTATGGTCTAATAATCTTAAAAACGACTTACTCTTTAATATCATCATTAATTGACGTATTTGTACATTACACTAAAAATACAATAAAAATTTAGATAACTACAAAATAAACACCCTCAAAAGTTTTAAAAATTATAAAAAACACCTTAAAAATTTGTAATTTATAAATATACAAAACTATTAAACTTACATTGAAATCAAAGAATTACAAAAAATTATTGAAAATTTTCAAATTTTGGAGGGGTAATTTGTAATGTACTAAACTTTAAGGGTGTTTTTTTATAAAATTTAAATGTAATAGATTTTTAATTAGTTATGTTCTTTTCAAAAAAGTTATGGGTAATATTTACCATGAAAAGTTTTTCCTAATTCTTTTCAAAAAAGTTATGGGTAATATTTACCATGAAAAGTTTTTCCTAAACCTATACTTTTAAAAGGTGTATGATGTTATGGGTAATATTTACCATGAAAAGTTTTTCCTAAACCTATACTTTTAAAAGGTGTATGATATTTTTTTATAAAATTTTAATTTTCTAGGAGTTGTTAGTAATTTTGTATATTCATTTTAATGTCTATAGGTTAAAATTCTCATGATGTTGTTTTGTAAATTGTGAATTTTAGGGGCTTTTTACAATCTTTTAAACTTATAGACCTTTGCTACAGATTGCAAATTGTTTATAGACTATTTATAATTCATATACTTTCAATTTACTAATGAATTTGAAATTCTTATGATGTTTTTTTACAAATTTTGATTTTTAAAGGTTTGTTTGTAATTTTTAAATTTTAAGGGTGTTTTCTATAAATTATAAATTATGTAGGAGATATTTATAATTCTTATGTTTTCAATGTACTGTTAAGTTAGAAATTATTAGGATTTTTATAAATTTTATAATTTTGAGGATTTTATTTTGTAATTTGTAAAAAATTCAAAGTGTGTATTGCAAATTTCATAAATATTTGGGGCTTGTTTGTGTTATTTTTAAGGGTGTTTTTACAATTTCAAAACTTATAAGATATTTTATCCAAAGTCTAAAAACTTTTAGTTTCTAGCTAACATATTTTTTCAAATTTCTTACTAAATTGAAATAAGTAAAATTTATAATTTTTAAGATGCTTTAATAAAATTTTTAAATTGTAGGGGCGTTTTTGCAATTTAAAAAACTTAGAGAATATTTTTTACAAAATCCAAAAACTTTTAGGTATTGGCTAACATATGTTTTTTAGATTTCTCTACAAACTAAAATAAGTAAATGATTTGAATTATATGAAACGTATCTCTTTTATCCAGTAACATGTTAAGTCTTATTATGAATAGAATAAATTATTTAGTTACCAATTCAAAGAAGATGTGATAATTAGTATAGATTAGGATAATATTGTAATATTCAATAAAAGCTAAGGGTAATATTGACCATAGAAAGATTTTTCTGAACTCGTACTTTTAAAGGAAGTATGATATATATATTAGACCCTAGAGCGGGGGGTGATTAGGGTCTTATGATAATCTAATCCGATTTTATGCCAATTAAAACTAATTAACAAGTTATCCTAGCAAGTATAAAATATAACAAGATATGTGAGCTAGGATAAGTGATATACACAAGGGTAAACAAAGTAAACAAGATAGTGAATGATATAAATAATGAGCAATGGACAATGACGATAAGAAATATAAATATAAGAGTAAGTGCGCCAAAGCAAACTCAAATACACGATATGATTATGGAGTTCGGACCTTCCGTCCTACGTCTCCGCTCCCCACTCCCGGGGAGAAATCCACTATCACAATCGAGTTTTCTACGCTCACCCAAATAACGTTTACACCTCACAATGTTGGTTTTCAACGCTCACCGATCAACGTTCATAATCACTCACAATGTCGGTTTTCAACGTTCACCGATCAACGTCTACATTCCACACCTCATAATAACAAAAATGATTTGTTCTCTAATATGACGAGAACACAATTAAAGCTCACACTCAATTGTTACAACTCTCACCAACCCAAATATACTATGTATGAAAATACAAAAAGCTCAATGTGGGTGTGTGTAACAAAGAGATTAATCAAATCTTAAACTCAATATAAAACTAGCTTTAACAAAATGATAATTAAACAAATAGATATAAAGCTAAAAATAGAGTTTAGAAAACTTCTCAATAGATCAAGAGGTAGATGAAGAATAGTTGGATGCTCAAACACCAATGGTTGATCTCCTCAAGCTCTTGTGAAATTGATTTCACAAAACAAACTCTTAATTTGCTTAAAAGCTTTTTAAATAAAACTTAAACCAAACATAAACCCTTGTTAATACTTGTTTAAAACACTCTCATTGTTAGTAGGAGAGCTGAAGGCAATGTGGTATTTATACCCACTCAAAACTTCAGCAAAATCCCCACAAAACTAACCAAAAAGCCCACAGAAAAACACAGCTGGAACTAGCCATTGGAGTGCAACGGTCAGATCGGCGGTCAACCGTGGAAAACTCACAGTCGACCGCGAGCAGCAAAAAGGCCAGAGTTCGGCTCTGGACAACAGACAGTCGATCGTGACGGTTGACTGTGAAACTCTCTGGACTGCATCCGGTCGATCACCACGATCGACCGTGAGTCTCTGAAAAACTTACTGAGTCTCTGGACTCATTGGCGGTCGATCGTGGCGGTCGACCGCAAACTGACATATGAAATTCCAGGTTTATAAATAGTTTTCTGATTTTAAAACTCTGTTTAAAAATATCAAATAAATTCTAAAAAATATAAAATTTTGGGAAATGATTGTAGACATGATAATACACATGCTACAAAAATTGATTTTTAGAAAGGACCTCCCAAATAAAAAATATCATTATTTTTCAAAATAGTCCAAAACATGAAAATGTGAACATATGAGTTTTAACATTTTAGCTTAACCATGTTTTGAAACAATACAAAATAATTTTATAGACTTGAAGAAAGATGTAAGTTATTGTTATAAAATCTATAAACAATGAATATAGTATTTTATCAAAATACACATATAATGCACTAAAACATGATTTTATTAAACTAAATAAAATTGATATTAATGAAATCATATATATGCATATAAGTATGAAACAATAAATGTATTTTCAATTGTTTCATAGTAAAACTTGAAAACTATCAAACCAAAACATATATGTATATATATAACTATATATATATATACGAAACCAAAACGTGTATGTGTGTATATGATTGAGCTTAAAGTACTAACACACATAATATAAAACCTAAAATTAAATTTACCCAAGCTTGTGATCTTCAACGAAGCTCTATCTTGGTACACTTGTGGATGAAGCTTGAACTTGAATCTTTAACTTTGAATTGCGTAGGCCTTACTCTACAATTCCACCAACCTCCATTGGATATGATCGTGGATGCTCGATTCCATCCATCCTCCAACATATTGTTTGTCTATAATAAATAACAAAATACAAATACTAGACAAACAATATTAGATGTAAATTGTTTGTTAAATCATCATCAAAATAAGAAGGCCAACATATATTACCACTTTGGTATTTAAAATACCTCCAATGATGTTTGGGTATTTAAAGTGAGTTTAAGTTAGTATATAGGTCCAAAATATTATCAAGATTAATTTTTCGGTAGAAAAATTTGTTCTCACCCCCTAAGATCCCTTAAATTTTGTATTTTACACCCTTCTTCACATTCTTCTTCCTAACCATTAGTGAAATCTCCTCCTACTTCAATGCCTCATCAATACGAATATAACCATCTAATCGTAATTTGATTCATGACTATAACTAATTATACTTTAACTAGGAACAAAAACAATATTATAATTGCAAAAAAGGCCATTCGATCTCACATTACATTCCAAAGCTGCTTATCCCCTTCACCTCTCTCAACCCTCTCGGCCAAAATTCTAAACTTGAAAACCTCCATCTTCTTGCTCTTATAGGTCTGAACCAATTGAAACCCATCATGCACTTGTCTCTCATAAACTCTAACCTCATTCTCCTCATCTTTTGGCTCCACGGGCACAAGCCTGGCAACTATAACACCCTCATACTTGCTAAACTTCGACACAACCTCCACCAACTTAACCTCTTCCTTCTCCCCTTGATGAGAGAGACTCCATTGATAAGAGAGAAAAAGAGGTTGAACGAGGGAGGGCTAAAAGAAGTTTGACATTTGAAAAAAAAAAGGTGAAGATGAGCATAAAACATAAAGTTTACGGGGTCATCGGTTGGAAAGAAATTTTCCTGCCGAAAAAAATGACATTTTGGACCTATGCGCTAACTTAAATTCACTTTAAATATCTAAACGTCATCGGAGATATTTTAAATAACATAGTGGTAAAATGAGTATTTTTTAAATACCTATTTGGTAGTTTAGCCTGTAAAATTAGTGCCATATACTCTATACAATTTCTATAGAGTCTCCTATAAGAACGTCTATAGAGAGTTTCCTATAGGAACGTACATCTTTCTACCGAAAATCTCTCCGCCTTCTAAATCCTCGTCACCTTGTCCAAAACCAAGCGCCCTAAACCCTGATAAAAGAACTCCGAAAACATTAAAAAAAAATCATAGACCAGTTCTCCAAACCCTCACGCTGCCGGCTCCCCATTTCAAAAAAATCAACCAAAACAAAACTCAAAAAAAAGGAAAAAAAGAAATCTCCACTCTATTTCGATCCAACCCCAGCTGTCCTCAATCTCAAACGCGCTTTCGTCTTCAAGCTCCCCGCCTTCAAATCTCCAAAAAATTACCCAAAAAACCCAAAACAAAATAATGGGTTATCTTAATCTCCACCTCTCTCTCCTCTTCCTCTCTCTCTTCTTCATCTCAACCCAATCCCAGCCCCCAGAAATCCCCCCGGTCTGCAACGGCATCCAGTTGTCCTACTCCATCACCGACCGCAAGCAAATCCACCCTCTTCTCAAGGACCCCAAAGCCCAGCCCAGCTCCTTCAAAGCCACGGCCACCGTCCAAAACAACGGCCTCACCGAGCTCAAAGCTTGGTCCCTCCTTATCCAGTTCCAGCACCAAGAGCTCATCGTCTCCGCCGGCGGCGCTGTCCTCAACAACAACTCCCCGTTCCCCTTCAACACCTCGGACTCCGATGGCCTCGCCTCGTTCTCGGGCTTCCCGAGCCCAGATCTCAAAACCCCCATAGAGACCGCTGGAGATTTGACCCAGATTCAGGCCCAGATCGACCTCGTCGGGACTTTCTTCGGGTCACCTCTACCCGCTTACCCGCTGCCCAAATCGATATCCCTCGACGACCCTTTATACATCTGCCCATCGCCGAAGTTGGGTTTCAATTCGAGCAGTTCGATAACGAGTTGCTGCACTCTGGACCCGAATCCAAAGCTCAACGACACGAAGGCCGACAACGATACCGATACCGACTTCTTGCCGAGGCGAAGTGGGGATCTGAGCATATTCTATGATGTGCTTCAGGCTTATGGGTCGAGTTATCTTGCGCAGGTGACGATCAGTAACGAGAGCCCATTGGGCCGGCTTGATAATTGGAAGCTCTCATGGGAGTGGATGAGAGATGAGTTCATTTACTCGATTAAAGGGGCGTATTCGAGCTTGATTGATTCTTCTTCTTGCATTTTGGGGCCTCAAGGTCAGTACTATCAGGACTTTGATTTCACAAAGGTGGTAACTTGCGTTAAGAAACCCGAGATCCTCGATCTGCCCTTGACGAGATTCAACGACACGGACGTCGGAAAAATCCCATTTTGCTGCAGAAATGGCACCATTCTTCCGGCGATCATGGACCCGTCGCAGACCAAATCGGCGTTCCAGATGCAAGTGTTCAAGATGCCGCCGGATCTCAATAGGACTAAAGTGCTCCCGCCGCAGAACTGGAAGATCGTTGGAGGGGCACTGAACCCGAGTTATCGGTGCGGGCAGCCGATTCGGGTCAACCCGACTCTGTTCCCCGACCCGAGCGGGCTCGATTCGAGCACCTTAGCCGTTGCTACATGGCAAGTTGTCTGCAATATCTCAAAGCCAAAAGGGGCTAGCCCCAAATGTTGTGTTTCATTCTCAGGGTTCTATAATGACTCTGTTGTGCCTTGCAAAACTTGTGCTTGTGGATGTCCTGCTAAAAATTTGAGAAAATCTTGCAATGCTAGCGCTCCTGCGATCCTTCAGCCTCCTCAGGCTCTTCTCGTTCCATTCGACAATCGAACTGATATGACTAAGTATTTCGCTGCGATGAAGCATTACAATGTACCAAATCCGATGCCTTGTGGAGATTATTGTGGCGTTAGCATCAATTGGCATGTGAATTCGGATTATAGGACAGGGTGGAGTGCGAGGGTTACATTGTTCAATTGGGAGGATGTTAATTTCGCTGATTGGTTTATGGCGGTTAATATGGGAAAAGCTTATGAAGGGTATGAAGCCATGTACTCTTTCAACGGAACTAAGATGGGTAATAACACTATCTTTATGCAAGGGCTCCCGGGCTTGAATTATTTGGTGGGTGAGGTTGATGGAGCTGGGCCTAATGATCCTAGAGTACCGGGAAAGCAGCAATCGGTGATATCTTTTACTAAGAAGGATTTGCCGGTGATTGATGTTGTTGGTGGAGATGGGTTTCCTAAAAAAGTGTTTTTTAATGGGGAGGAGTGCTCGTTGCCCGATAATTTTCCGGCGAGTTGGGGTTTTAGGAATAATGCCGGTGGGTTATTTGGTTTGGTTCTTGTTGTGGTCGCCACTCTGATCTTGGTGTCGGAGATGTAGAGGATTGATGCTTGTTGATGCTGATTCTTTTGATTCTTTGCGATGGATTGGATTGATGGGCAAGAGCTAAACTGTTTGTTTGGCAATTTTGGTGGAGGTAGAAGCTGCTGCTTGATTTATGACTGGGTTGTGTGATGAAGAGATGAATTGGGTAATGTTTGTCTTGATCCTCTGTTGTTGATGTTGTTTCTCATACTCATAGAAAGTATGTTAACTTTTTAGGATAATCTGTTTGCAGATAAGCCTCGAATTACCAGCTTCTTTCATTTACTGTGGATATCATGCGGATGCTAATTTTGCTTGAAATGCTATGATATATTGCCAGATTTATTGCTTATGTGTCTTTGACTCTTTATGATGTTAAAACTTGCTAGCTCTTCATAATTTCTAGTCACTGTTAACCAGGTCTGAAAAAGGTCCCACGAGATGAACATAATGTTTTCAAACTTCATTCTTTGCGTCTCATTCATCATGGTTTGTTGCTCAGTTATCATGTTTCACATTCCAACACCTGTCATGTTGCAAGTAGAATTCTATATGGTGAGAATGCCTATCGCAGAAGAGATCAAATCTGTTGTGGTTAGTTATTCACCATTCGTCTTTGAGAGGAGGTGTAAAAGTACTGATGCCTGCATTCAAACTCTCAGAAACATTTAGAGATCCAACTTTTCATCAATAGATGTTTTCTTGTTCCAGCTTCCCTTGATTTGCTTCTACCTAAGTAATGATCCTTAAGGCCTGGGATTATCTGACTCTGAAATAGTTCTGTTTATTAGCTTTGCTTCTACCTAATTAATGATCCTTAAGGCCTGGTATTATCTGGCTCTGAAAGAGTTCTGTTTACTAATAGCTAGCATCCTGTTTTGTGAGTGCATGTTGCCTTCTGGTTTTTTGATGCAAGTTTGTTAAGTTCTGACGATATAAGTGACGCTCTTTCTTACATGATGTAATGTTTATTTTGAGACCTTGATAAGTGCTATGATTGTTTGTTATCGTCCATCACTGTCACATGAAAATGAGTAGCGGACTCCAAAATTTTTGGATAAGACATTGTTGCTGTTGTTATCAGGTGAAGATGCAAAGTTTTCTCTGCTTCCATCTTACGACTCATCATGTCATGTTGAAGACACGCTCAACAGACATTTCATTTCAGTATTCTTATTAGATATTTAATTTCAATATTCGCATCGTTGAAACAGATCTTTTGAGTTTCTCTCGCAATTTGATATGTTCCTAGTACACTACAGAATTGTTACATTTCACTATCGTTGTTGATTTCAAAATTTCAAAATTGTCAACTGAAATGTGGCGGTGATGATGCTGACAATGATGATGGTGAGAAACTTATATTCCATGGGGTTATCAGAACTTTCCCTATAAACTCCTCGAGCCTATGAAACATGTATACTTTTGGAATATCACAATGGAACAATGAATACCAGCCAAAGAACCATTCACTGAAAAAATTGTAAGTAACATGTGCTTTGAACATTTCATTTCAGTATTCTTATTAGATATTTAATTTCAGTATTCGTATCAGTGAAACAAACCTCTTGAGTTTCTCAGGAATTGAATATGTTCATAGGACACTGCAGAATTGTTACATTTCACTCTCTTTTGTTGATTTCAAAATTTTACAATTGTCAACTGATATGTGGCGGTGATGATGATGATTGTGAGAAAATTATATTTCATGGGGTCCTCAGAACCTTTCCTAGAAGCTTCTCGACCCCATCGAACATTTACACTACAGGAATGTCACAATAACATCATCAATCCAAGCCAAAGAAGGATTCACCAACAAAATAGCAAGTTAGATGTGCTTTGATCATTTCATTTCAAGACTTTGCATATTAGAGCTCAACTTCTAAATTTATCACCTGGTTGTAGGCAAACCTCTGAAGTCAATTGTTTAGTGAAAAAGAGGCAGAACCTCAAATATGTTACTTGACTTAACTACTTGATTTCCATTATTAATTCTTGACTGGTACCTTGATTGTGTACGAGTAATTTAGGCGTTTAATGAAGTTTAATAGGAAAAGAATATAAGAACAATGATATATAGTATGCACCCTTGAATCTGTTTTACGGCAGTTTTACTTTTTTTTTGTAGCAAAAAACAAGGGTTATACCTCGTTCATTAAAAACCAAAAGTATCAAAAAGATAGTTCAATACAAAAACAGGAACACGAACTGTGTCCATATGTTGTAATATAGAAAATAGAATTTCTACTAGTAGTGATGTATAATCTTCTTCTTCTAGAGATCCATGAAGATGAAGAGTGGGTATTGCCATCATTCATCGTTTGACACAGATTTAGGGAAGAACCAAAGCCAGTCATACATGTACATAGTAAAAATTAAACTTTCTATACTCAACAAAAAAGATAAAAATAAGCTGTTAATATATACAGAACTGAGATAGGACATACGGCAGTTTTACTAGAAATCTTGATTTTACTTGTGCCTTAGTATTGACTTTGGATTTTGTAACGAATACATACATTTTGTCCCCTGCTCTGATGGCAAGTAACCGGCTTATTTTACCCCATCGGTTATATTATCTGAAGTAATTTACTTGCTTTGCCATTGGAGCTGCAAGTTTGCATAAACTGAGAACTGTAATGACACAAATCTAATATCAAGATTAGTTTACTTGCTTAAGAGATGCAGACTATAAAATTCGAAGGCTGCACAACCCTGATATAGAAGTTCAGTTTATTTGTATTACAAATTTACAATCTGCACTGATGTGTTGTGAATTCTATGTTCGAAGACTTCGGATTTGCTCTATTTTTATTCTGGTTAAGATTTGCTCTCCTTGTCATCTTGTTTGCTGGTTCTATAGAGTAGATAGGATATATATGCGTTGAAATTGTATATCATTTAGGATAGTTTGATGCTAATGCTTGTTTTATTATTATGCTATTTAACTTTTAAAGTGAGACGGTGCTAGGATCCCATACGAATAACTTCAACCCGCAAGACTGTGACATGTTATTTGTTTATTTCTTAGGTGTTGATTATCACCTTGTTTTTCCCCTTATATTGAGCTTTATTTTAGTCAGATGTCACCTGTACGGTTGTGCAATCTTTTGTATTTCCTGTCAAAAACTGGCATCATCGCGTTACGTATCCCCACGATCTGCTTTACATGGGTTGGTCAAAGGATTGATTAGTTCTTTCCTAACTTCTCTAAATCGGGTTGGTCAAGGGATTGATTAGTTATTTCCTAACTTCTCTAAATAGGTATCACCTCCAAGCTCTCTCCCCAAGATCTCTCTTTTCTAGCCCTCAAAGAAACTCTTGTTTTCTTCTTATCTAAAAAACCCTAGAAGAAAACTCCTATTTATACCAAACTGGAAATCCGAACTGGGTCTTAAAAAACCACATGTGGCCTCAAGCCAGAGACGTGCGAGACAGGTTAACCTGTCTCGCATGTGTGCCATCTCACACGGGACCGTGAACCGTTCACAATTCTTCACCTCGTACATCATTTGATAAACCTCAAATGTTAGACGAATACCAGAGGAAACACCGCGAACATCACCAGAGAGATCTGAAAAATGCCAAACCAGACTAAAACCAGGTCAAACCAGCTGCGCCACTATATCGCAGTTGCCTACGTACCCTCCACCAGTATCAAGCTAACCTTAGTTCTGCTATTGTTCTCCATATAGTCTCCACCTCACCCCATCACCGTCCTGAAGGGTCATGCCCTCTTGGACAGTTCAACACGGGCTGATATGAACTAAGTCCAAGCAATACTTAAACTTGCTATCTGTCACCACCTTAGTTAACATGTCTGCGAGATTTTCATTCGTGTGCATCTTCATGAGAGAAATATCACCTTCCTCTATGACATCCCGCACGAAATGATACCTGACATCGATATGCTTATATCACCTTCCTCTATGACATCCCGCACGAAATGATACCTGACATCGATATGCTTGGTACGAGCATGATGAACTTGATGACATCCCGCACGAAATGATACCTGACATCGATATGCTTGGTACGAGCATGATGAACTTGATTCTTCGTTAAGTGAATCGCACTCTGACTGTCGCACCACAAGTTCACATTCTCCTGCTCAATCTCCAAATCGTCTAGAAGACCATACACCACAATGCTTCATTCACTCCCTTCGCCATGACCATGTACTCGGCCTCTGTAGTAGAAAGTGTCACTGTAGTCTGTAACATCGATCGCCAACTAACTGGAGCCCCATGTATCATGAATACATAACCAGTAGTAGATCGTCGTCTATCTAGATCACCCACATAATCAGAGTCAACAAACCCATCAATCTGACATGTATCTCCACCAAAACACAAATCCGTATCAACAGTACCCTTCAAGTACCTCAGGACCCACTTCACTGCTTCCCAGTGCGTCTTTCCCGGATTCGTCATGAATCTACTGACGACACTGACCGCCTGTGAAATATCTGGGCGTGTACACACTATTGCATACATCAAGCTGCCAACTGCACTAGCATAAGATACACGCTCCATGTGTGCCTTCTCTTCCACTATAGTAGGAGATACTTGAAAGCCTGAAGTGTGGAGCCAATTGAGTCACCACCGACTTAGCACTTTGCATCCCTAACCTCGTGATCACCCGCTCTACGTAGTCCTTCTGACTCAAGAACAATCACCGATTCGTCCGCTCTCTTCTAATCTTTATACCTAGTATTTTCCTAACAGCGCTCATGTCCTTCATCTCGAACTATTTATCGAGTTGAGATTTTAGTCTATCTATCTCCACCGTGCTCTTTGAAGCAATAAGCATGTCATCCACATATAAAAGGAGATAAATATAATCACCTCTACGAAGCTTATGAATGTAAACACAACAATCATAATCGTTTCGGGAAAACCCATGCTTCAACATGAATGAGTCAAATCGCTTGTACCACTGTCGATGATATTGCTTCAGTCCACAGAGTGACTTCCTTAAGCGACATACATGATGCTCCTTATCCTCAACCTTGTATCCCTCAGGTTGATGCATATAGATCTCTCCATCCAAGTCTCTATGCAAGAAGGCTGTCTTTACATCGAGTTGTTCCAGCTCAAGATCACCATAAGAAACAATACTTAATAGCACCCAAATAGAAGTGTGTTTCACCACCGGAGAAAATATCTCATTGTAATCTACACTCTCTTTTTGTGCAAACCCTTTAGCCACTAGCATCGCCTTGCACGTTGTACCACCGAGCTCTGAAGGATCTTCCCTTCTCTTATACATCCACTTACAACCAATAGTTTTTCTTCCTACAGGCAATGGGACAACCTCCCATGTTTAGTTTTTCCGAAGAGATTCCATCTC